TAAGTTATGCTGGTGGATACGCAAGAATTTTTACTAGTGATTAGTGATTATTTCATTCCATATTTGAGCTTCATTAGCACCTTCTGTTAGGACTAACTTACTTGTACATTAAAAGTGCTCATTTTTTCGCAAATGGTCTTTTTGAACAAATGTACACAATGTTTCCACTTTCCCTCCATGTTTGCCTTTACATCATCCAATCTCTGCATTGTGGACTTTCTGTTGCGTCTGTTATTCAACTTGACTGAACAGATTTTTTCCGCCACTGAATGTTTCTTGGAACAGATCAATCACACCCTGTTTTTTTTTTTTGTTTGTTTGTTTGTTTTTTTTGTTGTTGTTTTAGCAAGCTGAGTTCCAGTATTGTCTCTCCATTCCTACAGTAAAATTTGGATTAAAATGTTGCAAGGACTCAGTTAACAATCTGAAACTTTAAACAAGTGATGCATGAAGATATATTTGTAAATTGTATGCAATTGTATGTAACTCTGTATATAATTTTGATATTGATCGACTTGCAAAATAGTGACTAATGTACTGTAAACAAACACAGCTTTCTAATAACATAGTGGCACAAAAATATAATTATCTAACATAAATTACCTTGTGTACAGTTTTAGACTTTATTCTGTACAGGGACATCTCACTAAATTAGAATATAATTAAATCAAAAAATTGCCAGTGCACACAAGGTAAAATATTTTTATGGTTTATTGTTGTATGTTTTGATTTTTATAGCTTTCCTCCAGTAAAAACTAAAAATAAAGATTATGAAAAAGTCTATAATACATCTGATCAATACTGAAAGAATATATATGTGTGAAAAGATCAAGGCTTTCACAGTCAGAGAAGACTGATCGCTTTATAGTGGCCCAGCCGTCCATCACTCTCCACAATGAGGATAATCCACATAAGAGCATTGCTAAACAAACTGACTGTTATTTAGGGCCTTATCTAAGGATATTAACAAAAAGTTCAGTGGAAGGAAAATGTGATAAAAAAAAGTACACAAACAACAACATTACCACAGTCTTGAGAAGACGTGAATCAAACTCCATTCAGCGTAGACTTCAGTTCAGTGTCCCAACATACACAGTCCACTGTCGGATTCCTCGTGTTCAGCCCCTTCTGAATGAGAAACAATGTAACGAGTCTCTGACCTAGGCTAAGGCTAAGGAGAGTGGTCCAAACTTCTCTTTTCAGTTAAAAGTAAATGTAATATTTGATATGAAAATCTTCAAAGGAAGAGATGAGAAGCAAAGAATCCAAATCCCCTCAGGTTTAATGTGACATTACCCCAGTCAGTGATGACTTAGGGGCCCATATGAGTTGTTTCAGTTGGTTGACAGTGTGTTATTGAGTTCAGGGTCAGGACATGGAGCACGTCATGCTTTTCTCAGCAGAAGGGGTTTCTGGAGATGCTCATTTCAGTTTCCGTCACGACTTGGTTTCTGCCCACACTGCTGAAAGTAACAATACATACTCTTGTGACCATGGCATCGCAGTGCTACACTGGTCAGCTGACGGGCCACTATTAAAGCTATCTGGGTTTCTTCTACACCTCAGTAGAGCCTTGGATTGATAGCCTCCATGCCACGCAACATAGATGTAATACTGTAATCTGTGCAAAGAGAGTATCATCCAAGTAAGTTCTTTAGCATGCTGATACTTTTGCAGTGAAATTTTTAAAATGCATGTCTGGTACCAGGGCTTAACATGTGTGCTAGTTAATAAAAACATTCAGTTCTGATCAAATACCCACTGCATGTTTAAGGGTCTTTTTTGTGTGTGTGTGTGTGTTTGTGTGGCAGTTATCCATGAAGCAAAGTTGATATCTTACAGTTTTTAAGGGCAAACACACATTTCTAACACGCTATGTGTTGAAGTGTAAAACAACATGACTTGTGTTTCCTGGATGGAGGCTGGTGAAATATGGGAGAATGAGGCAAAGCTCACCAAGCATGAACAATGAAAGAAATAAAGACACCAAACAAAAGTCATACTCTGCCATTTACTAAGCCAAATCATCCTAATTGTGATATTTACAAAAATAATTAGCATAGTTTTGTTAGCTTGAGGTGTTACGGTGAGTTGTGTCCCGTCGCATCCCTCCTGTCTGAATTTAGGCTGTGTGGAGAATGCATGTTCATCCTGTTTGTTCTTTACTCCAGCTTCCTCTCAGAATCCAAACCATGTAAAGTTATTTACTGACTCGAACCTGACTTTGTGTGTGACTGTGGCTATAGTTGTATAATAAAATGCACCACATCTCTTTCAGCTGTTCAGCTGCGTGTAAAAATCTGAAGCCTTTTTATTTTAATCGGTAACTCTCTCGTTCTGTTTAGGTTAGTTATTGTGAACAGCATTTTGTATGTTCAAAAAGTGCAGTCTTCTTCAAAAATGATTTCTTTTTGCCATGTCTTGGTAACTCATTTATCCCATACTGTATTTTCAGATGATGGGTTGAACCTGAACCTAACCCCACTTTAATCTTCTCCACAAGTATTTTTTTTTTCTGTTTTCCGTAGTTCATTCCTTGATCTTCATGGTGCTATTTGTTCACTTCTTCACTTCTACTATGCTACAAGTTTTTTTTTGTTTTTTTTTCATGTTTTCTCTTTTTTTTTGTAACTAGTTCTGGTAAATCTATTTTTTTTATTTTTTTTTTATGTACTGCAACGAAAACACGGCAGCCTCATAGTGATCCTACTTGTAAAAGGATAATATGGACAAAGTGTAGTGCTCATTTCATGCCATCCAACTGAAAATCATATTAGAGAACATTAGATTATTTTATCCTAAAGGCCATGGAATAAGCAATTTGAAGTGTGGCAGTTGCAGCTTGTTTGATCAGGCAGTTTGTGTTTATGTTCTAGTTGGACAAATGTACATATCTCAGAATTTGACAGGTAAAAAAAATAGTAAGCAAAAAAGAAACCACCTCAACCCGGGTGACGCTCGCAAAATCTTACTTTGAATTCTTAGAAAACCTTTTATCAATAACCAAATTAGCTTAAGTAACACCCATCATCGGATTTGACTGGAGAAGCTATCGAGTGTCAGCATCAGGTGTTTTATTAGCCTGTAAGCACTGATAGTTACACCACCTCCTCATGTTCGTAGGGTTTTACATACACCCGCCCAGGTCCCCCACTGATCCTGGAAACTGAATGCCTTGACTCTAATCTGTGATGCAATCAGGCTTTTAAATGTATTACTGCCGCAGATATTGACGTAACAGTTAGTTCCCTACCAGTGTTACATCATATAGAACTTTACATTGTTGAAATTGGAAAAACAAAATTCTTCTTGTTTTCTTTTATTAAAGGGACATATTATAGTGTAGAATTTTGCAGTTATCTTGCTAAATATATTTATGTTGTCTTGATATTAAAGTCTATTAACCCAACAAATCCCAAACCCTAAACATATCTTTGCCATAAAGATTGAGCATATTATAACAATTTAATTATGTCCATGGACTGGAACACACTTGTTAAAAATGCCTGTGCCTAGACACAAGCTGCTATTTTTGAGTAAAAATATCATAGTTTAATCATACCACAGCATTTATATAAAACTGTAGTTTGAACAGTTTCTTATAGTAGGTGGGACTTTTTAGGTTCCTCACCATGACTCTCTTTGATTTCTGCAGCCAGCAATATATCTAAACAGTCTGATTTATCATATTTGTGAGCACGAGAAAAGTGTAGTTGCCTTCTTTTAGCCAGCTGATGCATTATGGATGGCAACAGGTAGGGGAGGGGGAGCAGTACTACAATGAGCTCCTTACAGTGTTTTCTTTAACATCTGAAAGATAGAACTTTAATCTGTAGGAACCTTTTTTTCCCTATATTTGTTAAATTGAAATATCTATTTCATTCATTTTGTTTTAAAGTCAGTTTATTATCCCCCCCAGCCAGCATGCCTAGGTGGGACCCATGTGGGGACAAGGAGGGCAGACTATATGGGTCCCATATGGGTTTGTCCGCGGGTTCCACGATGGCCCCACATGGGTTTGCCCATGTAGGGCCACAGCCCACATGGGTGCTACATGGGCCCTAATTGGACAAAACCCATGTGGGCCACCACCATATAGGGCCCATGCAGGGCCCATGTGGGCTCTGGCCCTACATGGGCAAACCCATGTGGGGCCATCGTGGAACCCGCGGACAAACCCATATGGGACCCAGATAGTCTGCCCTCCTTGTCCCCACATGGGGCCCACCTAGGCATGCTGGCACAGAGCAACTTCAATATTTGTTCTTGACTTGAAAGTGAAAGTAATAGAAACATGTTTATTTCTTCATAAAGATCGTGTATATGGGTTCTGTTTTTTCTTGAGTCAGCGTCACATAAAAGCAGAGCTTTTCTTCCTTCTTACCTTGCCACTGTTCTTGTTGAGGTCTTGGTAAATTCCCTTCTCGTTCCGTTGTGGTTATATTCCCGCCATCAATCAACAATGATGATCAGTCAAATTAAATTAAATCCTAATATTAATAAGAAAACTTGTGCTCTGAGATTTAAAAGTTGATTCATGTGTAAGTGAATAATTCCAGAGAAAATATTAAAGGGTAGCTACCTTTGCTTCCAGCTGTCAGATTTGTTCAGAGCTATCGGCATGGAGTCCAGTTGCCAAAAGACACATCCTGTTTCTTTAAGGACTTTTTTGTACCTTTGCTCAATTCTTTGTATGATTTTTTTTTTTTTTCTGATTGTTTCTTCTCTTGTTTGTGCTAATGTTAGTTCAGCTGGGAGATAAATTTTGAATCTACCTTTTCAAAACAGTTTTACTTCATCCACATCGTTCATCCTTACTTTTACCAAAACATTGTCTCTGAGTCATTCAGAGGAAAAGAAAGATACAATCTGTTAAGTCAATTTAGAGGCAGTCAAAACTTAGGAAACCCCTCACCCTCCTCCAACAAAAAAAAAAGCAGTTTTTAATATATTTGACCAGTGACAAAATAACATGACATGTGACAAAAAACTCAGAAACATCAGTGACTAAACAGAGATCATTTATTTGAACTGCATATTGTTATTGCCAGATATAACAATACAAGCCATAACGGGTCCTGTTTATATGGCTGCCTTGATTTTATTTCAAGACCTACTAACATGGTGATTTTATTAGAAGATATTGGTATCATGGTGTGAATATTGTTCAAAAGGAACATTACGTTGATGTCCTTGATGGCGCTAATATGTGTTTACTATCACCGTATACCAGAAAATAAGTGATATAAAAAAAACTATAAGTGATATAAAAATAAAAAAAAACGTAAAACTCAAGCTCTAAGGGTAAGCTGAAACTGAAATGCGCCTCTCCATACGTGTGTGTACTTTTTACATACTCACCCTTACAACCACAACACACCTTGAGTTACAGTAACCCAAAACCCCGTCTGTAGCCTGGGGGGGGGGCACATGTGAGCCACGTCTGGCTCTGCGCAGAGTGCTGTCGCGACTTTCTCTCCTCTCAAACTTTTTTTTTTCACTCCTAGCAAATGAAAAAGAAAAGGAGTGTGAGGTGAGAGGGTGAGAGGACAGCCCACCCTTCCCACCCATTTAACAGAGGAAAGAAAAAAAAAAACAGAAAAGAGAGGGCTCAAAGAGGCACACAACACAAGAGCCTGGTCCAGCTTCAAAAGTTGCACTGATGGTCACTATACTGCTCCTCTGGGACAGATGGGATTTAAGCTGCTTTTGCCAAAGGGTACTTCAGCAGTAGTTTCTGTGAGGTTAGAGTGCACTCATCACACAATTCCCTCTATCCAGACTTTCCCAGCAAGTCCTTCGAGTTAAATCATTGACCCCCTGGCCATTGTTGCTACAATGCTGCTGCCTGAAGTAATCGTCGTGTACGCTCCATCCATCCAGTCTTTAGCTGCCAAAACATCACATCATTTACTCCACTCATCTTTCCCTCTGCAGTTTGGATCACTTCAGACCCAGCAGCAATAATTCAAACAATAGGTATTTGCAAATACATTAAGAGCATGCTGGCAGTCAGCCCGAGGAGTGATCATTGAGATAAATTGATCCCTATCTGTTTAAATTGCCACTGTAATCGCTCATTGGTGAATTGAACACAGATATACTGTGTTTGGGATCTGCTGGCCGTTTAGACGGCAGCCGTCAGAGGAAAACAGACACAGTGACTGAAAGTGATCTATGTTGGTGACTACATTTAGTGAAACATCTAAATGTCCCTACTCTCTCCCCCCCTACCCCACCCAACACTATGTTTCTTTGTAGTCTGCAAGAATAAAGCAGAAAACACAATTTTCACAATAAAAGCATATTTCCAGTGATGTGTGCTCAAGATTTTTCATTCCTATTCATGCTCACGTTTTCATGAGATATGATTAATTATCAATAGAGGTACACAATGTGAGAAACTGAACAACTTAGAAGAAAAGTCAAACTATTTTAAATCCGCATGCAAAAAAAAATCAATGAACAATTAATTTAATCAAAATTGATTAGCATTATTTGAATTACTATATTGATTTGTAGTTTATTTTATTCACACACAACCAACAGTCAGTGTTCAGCATCTATCACCTTTAGGCATTACTGTAAAGAGACAGGCGATGAAAGCTCTGCAGCAGACTAATGTCATGAAACACTACAGATAAATTTGATAAGAAACAACCAATCGTGATGCTTTTTTGAAAGACGTGTGTTACATATTTTGGAGGGTTTTGTCGTTGAGAAACTTATTAGTTTTTTTCCACATTTAAGTTTAGCTGAAATGGTTTCTTCTAAATGTTTCGAGGTGGAACAGACGAGTTTCTGTCCCGATTCGGCGGGCATCTAATTCAATAAGACTCTTGAAGTTGATTAGCCTGGTTAACCTTTGAACCAACGCGGCTGTGGAAGGGTTAATCGGGCCGGGAACTTGGAGACCTGCGGGTCAGAATCCATCTATCTGCATGAAAGAGGACTTGGTGAAACCACAAATAAGTCAGACGCATTTTTTTTTATTGAAATTTTAACTTTTACCATATATAACGGACCTTGAATCGTCGCTAAATATTTCTTTTTTTCATTTTTACTATTGTTGTTTTCCTTTTTTTAAAAAAATTGTGAATAATATAATATATATTGGAATAAAACTGCCTTTCCAGTTAAACGGTAGGAATTTCACCAGCTATGTCCACCTCACGCAGCGCGTGGAGCTTTTTTCTCTTTGCAAGATCGTAAATCTCAACTATTATCCGTCGCTCTATCGATTAATTTAACTGCAATCAGCACATCTCCTCTGCTGTCTTCCACATTAAGGGTGCGCGCTTTGTTTCACCAACAATAATAAAGTGATTTAGTCCTGTTTTTTTCTTCTTCTCCTTCTTCTCTCCCCTCCCTCTACCCCAGCATGAGCATGAGAAATCGTTAAAGACCCAGCTATTTGTGTGTGATCAGTAAATATTTAGTGCGGGCGACATCCTCTGTCTCAACTTAATCGATACTGATCCCGTTGGGCAGCGCTATTGTTGCGCGCATGGTGGCTTGCTGAGCATTTAATACTTTTATCCTCTGCTTGAAGGCGACACGCAGAGGAAAACCTATGAAGCCGGAGAATAGACAGAAAAGGGAGGAAAAAAAGAGTATTTGGGAAATGTTTCTGCATCCCACACCAAGTCCATAAAATAATTGTTGCAATACTTATAATAATAATAATAATAATAATTAATAATAATGCAGATTTCAATAAGTATGGCATATATTGTCGTATTTGAATTAATATATATATATTAGTTGCATTTAAATTTTAGTCTAAAATTGCATGGTGGTTAATTTTCAAATTTTCATTTAATTTGCAAAAATGCACAATTCCACGTTACTAACTCGCCCCACTTAAAGACAGGTGTCTATTCTGGCTGCCCCCCACCCCCTCCTCCCTCCCTCTCTTCCTCTCTCCACTCTTCTTCTCTCCCGTCAGCATTGCCCACACAAAGCAGCGGCGATCGAGCGCGCTTTGGCCACATTACTGTAGGAGAGAAAAAGGCGCACAGGATCTTTGCCGCTCGCTGCAAACCTTCCCCGGCTTGCTTGTCGTTTCCAGAAGGCATCACACATGCTGTTCTGCTCGGACGACACTTCAACCTATTAGGCTGCATTTCCTCTTAATTCTTCACGCAGCAGCAGCAGCAGCAGCAGCACATGACGTGAATCAGTTGTTTGTTTCGGCTCCCGAAAAGTTTTTGCATGCTCATCCTCAGCAGCAACAGCAGACATTGCACATCGTTTCCAATAAACAGCGAGCCTTTCTTTTTGGTGCATGCAACTCCCCGACTGGGTTGGAGAGGAATCAGTCTGAGCACTGTGTCGAAAAGGGGAAGACTAAATTTAATCTGAATAAGAGAGAGAGAGGGGAGAGAAGATGCATCCCGCTACGGACGAATCAGCAGCATATGCATTTGGTAGGTTTGCTATGAGAATACAGCCTCCTGACTCGCTATATTAATGTTGAATAAAATTTTTTTTATGAATGGCTGTTTGCAAACTTGCAAGACTTATCGCGGTTATCTTAGAAATTAATGAATGAGGGGGTGGAAAAAGTCCGTGTTCGCTGCACAGGCGCTAGAATACGACTCGCGTAGGTTCCTGATGCAGCTCTTGCAGCTTATTTTAAAGGAAAAAAGTTTTGATTTAAAGCTGATAAATAAAGCAACGGTGCTTAAAAAATGTATCATAATTAAGAATTACAAACACTCACCTTTTTCTATGTGAAACTGGATCCTCGCAGGGTCTTTTGGGACTGTTTCCACTTTCGCTGGATCTGTAAACGAAAAATAATAATGCAAGCAAAAAAAATAAAAATATTCGGCTAATTTCTCTCAATATTAGATGTAATTTGGTTTGATACAACCACTGGGATTAGTAAAGGTAGCGGGAAAAAATGTGCAAAAGTCCAACTCCTGCAGCTATCAAAGCTTTCCCCCCCATCCACGGTTGTGTTGAGCGAAATTAAAACAGTCATCAGTTTAAACTGCAGCTCGTTAGTTTGGTTGGTCGATGCGAGAGACACGAGACTGAAGCTGTTTCCGTCTCGGATGGCTCCTCTAAATTGAATCTTATTTGAAGAGAGAAAAAAATCATACGCTAGGGGGCACCCATATACTGTAATACATCCTGAGACAATGCTGGTGGATGCTGGTGGATAGGGCTGCTCTCTCTGTCGCCTAACACACTGACCTGGCTGGAAGTTCATCTCCACGGCTGTGAAGTTTCACCTGCAGTTCAAAGCTGCACTCAAAGTGAAACAGTTTTGTTGCTTCTTGTTTTTTTTTTTTTTGTTGTTGTTTTTTTTTTTTGTTTTAAGACTGGCAATGCTCATTTATCCCTACAATCACTGACACTTTTGGACATGCAAACCGTCCGCATCAATGAGTTGAATTTTTAAATAGACATTTACTCCTGCACAATGTCTTTAGTCAGGAAGTATCTCCACAAATGACACATCGCTTTATTTCCCAGGATGTCGTCCCGCCGCCTGTCCTACATGGTGGTGGCTTCTGACATGTAGAGATAAATTTATATTTTTGGATGCAATCTCTGTTTCCTGCTTATTTTTTTTTTTTTTTTT